ATAGAAGTACAGCAATAAAATGTTACTACAAAAGATGAGAGCAAATCGGATAATAGAATGGAAGGACTGATCTTAAGTGTCATGTGCCGAAGGACATTTTACGATGTACCTAAAATGGGACAGACGGAATAAAAAAAAGAAAGATGGGAGAGATGATCTGGGGGCCAGTACATAAAAATTTAAGCTAAATACCGTGAAGCATATCTCAGGAATGTTTGGAAAACTCTTTCAGAAAATTCTGATCCTGCGACAATTTACCAAGATATGCGGGAGCGGCGATGAAAGTAAGCAGTGTCGGGTATGGCAAAATATAAATCTTGGCAACAGTACAAGCATTTCGAGAAAACATTGTGCCGTATTTTGTCCGGCTAAGCTTAGATAATACGAACCAACGTCAGCCTTACCAACGACCAAAATAATGCAGTAATTGTCAAGCAGCTATGCCCGCAAGAAGCAAATGTACTTACACAACGCATTTTACGGAATAATATAAAACAAGTAAAACAGAAAATAAGTCCAGCATTTGCTTATCTTGCACGGGTCTACAGCGGCGAACTACAACCAAAAGAAGGGTGGGTTAAGGACTATAAGGGACCTCAAGTTCTGGTGTTTCTGGTACGAAATAGAATGAAGCATGCTAAATGTAATTAAGTCAAATTGTTGATGGAGGAATAACCAAAAAGTGCATGTGTATGTGGGACGTTGAATGGGAGGAGTTAGAATTGGGTTTTTTTGAAGGAAGTTGTGAGAATAGAGGTAATGATTAATCCGTAACTGTTGCGACTAGTAATGACCAAGACAAGAAAGGAAGACACAGATCTGACAACATAAGATCACTCACATCTGGGCAAAACCTTCACTTTCTTTTTTTATGAATTTCTGCTTTTTATAAAAATGCGAAAATTCGTCGAAAGGCTCTCTGTGTGTGTACATTCGATGGCGAGTAATATTACCTAATCAGGCGATTTCCCTAACATTTGTCGTTTTACTCTAACTCGGCTACCAGAGAAGCTGCTAGTAAAAAAGGCATAAAAGTGGCACAAAGACGTACTACAAAGAAAATATAATCGAAAAAAAGCACAAAAAATGAGTGGGAGTTAAATTTTTAAACTATTTGCTGGGAATAACTGTTCGGTAGGTGCTACTTACCTGTTCGCCGATCATTGTTGCAATGAATGAGCTGGCCAGCTCAACATTGCTTACTGCTGGAGGTGTTTCAGCATTCGCCAGCCGATGATCCAATTCCTGTTGCTGCTGCTCCTCCTGGTTCAGTAAATTAGCCTGTAACATATAGCAAATGCAGGCAATCAAAAGAAAAAAAAAAAACCCCTTAAATTCGAAAAACTCAAAAAACACCTGCAAATTATGAAAGCCATTGATTTGATAAATTTTAAGCTGAGTACAGCATCCCGGTTGACCCTGAAAGCATAAGATGTGAAGATGTGATAGAATGGCGAAAGAACAGCATTAGAAGAGAAGGCCAGAATGAGATAAGGCGTTTCGGTCCATTAAGTCATATACGCTTTAACTTGATACCCTGACTGAACCTCATCAGTATGACAGTCGCAGTGCTTAATAAGGAAAATGTGGAAGTAAAAGAAAGGCGAAGGAAGATGGGAGTGAAAGGAAAGGAAAAGCTATGACAGTAGGAATAACAGCATTCACTTTTAACTATACCATTCACTTTTTTACTTTCAAGAATACCAAAAGCGCCTGGGCTAAATAAGGAAGTAACAAGAGAAAAAATTTCTACGGTGGCATGAGGGATCTATCATGCCCTATGTTCAGGCAAGTCAAAATCATGATGTCGAGATGAGGAAAAAACAAAGACTAAGTTAAAAGAGTTCTTCTGCCGGATTTGGAAAAACTCCAGCCTCATTCGAAATGCTGCTGGCTAGGCCAGAACGCAGTCTCCCATCCCTTCCCACACTCCCGCCCCTGCCCTATAAATTTTAAAAGAGAACCACGGAATAACTGTTTATTCTACTGAAGTAGGGTACCATACAGCCATTCCTGAGAATGCACAGAGCAGTGACAGCATCAGTAAACGATAAGTATCGACATGTTCGAAGCCAAAAATCTCAAAAACGCCTATTCTTTTCATGAAAACTTGATGAACAGTCAACATCTCCTCCGTAACTCACTCTCAGTAAGCAAAGCCACTCGGAAGTAGCCTGAAGACAGTGCATACCCAACAAGAACCAATCGACGAAGACGACGACTACTATCCCTTGCCAAGAGGCTAACTGGAAGCATAATAATGGCATTTTAAACTCCCCAGCATATACTAACATTAGATTTATATGCTATTCTTAACAGCCGTATCAAATCCATAACTCTGGGATTGCCAGAACTAACAAGAAAATAAAAAAATGCCAAATTTTTTGAGGAAATACAAAATTTGCAGTAAGCCGACTGTAGCTTCCAGGTTAATCTAGGGTGCCAAAGTAAGGAAGGTTTATGAAAAGAAGAAAATAGTAGGAAAAACGATTGAGTTAAGACGTTCCGGTCCATCAAGTCATATTTTGCCTGTTTATTACAATGTATACAAGAAATATATAAAAAAATACGTCAAATTTTCTATTAAAATAAACTCGAATTTGACAAAAGCTAAAAACAGGAAAACATACCGAAGGCTGAGGTTGATGAGGAATGAATGTAGCGGAATCCATGGGTAAATCGACCTAAAATAAAACAGAAGCTTTAACCTAGAACAGGAAATACGTTCAGAAATGGCAATATTACCACACTTTTCCAACTTCGTGCTAGCTTTTCGAAAGTACTACGGCACCAACTGTGAAATCGCTTACAAAATATATAGTATTTTTGGTTCAGAAATGAATGAATGGATTAAAAAAATGACTCAAAAATGAATATAAGTCAACTAACACCCAGGGAAACCATTCGTATTTCATCCCTTAGCTGTAAACACAGACGAAGCTCTGCACTGGTTAGGAGTGGGAATCATCAGTACAGCCTTCTGTCCGCCACTTATGGAAAGACTGTCAGTTGTATGCACAGTTAAACAGTGCTTTTTATAGCAAACTGCTTTCTGCCCTCAGAAAAATAGGTGCGTCTAATGATTCTCCTTCCTTCTCCCAGTTGTGCTGAGCTTCTTATCTTTGCAATTCTTTTGAATTAAGAAAATTTTTCTTGATTTAAGTAAAATCGAAAAAAAAAATATCTGGTCAATAACTCGAAATTTTCAGCTGGAAACTAATAAAAACTGATAAAAATTTTTTGTCAAA